TGGATTAGGGTTGCTTGCCTTCATTTTTATAAGCCAGCTCATCGATCGACTGGTGAATGGTGATAGTCAAACCCTAGTAGGGAGTTTCACGTGCGCAGAGGCTCCTCACTGTCAAGAACACACGTGCCTCCAGGCTTCAACTCTCGAGCCAGGCAGATTGAGTTGGTTGCTAAATCTGGATGCAACTTTGTTCGATCAGAAATCTTAGTTGGAAAGTGCCAAAAAAAAAGATGGATCTAGAAAAAGGTTAAAAAGGGAAGTGCACCAGCCGGGAATCGAACCCGGGTCTGTACCGTGGCAGGGTACTATTCTACCACTAGACCACTGGTGCTTCCTGTTATGAAGGTTAGAATTTATCAATATTACCAGTTAATTACTACGAAGTAATATACCTACCTTCAGAATTATGGTGATACAAGTGTGGCTTCTATCCACAGTTGCAATTTTCTCAATTTAACGAAAGACCATACGATTAAATAGACAAAACATAACTTGATATGATTTTAAACCATCTTTGTGTACAATGTGAGAAAATTAAAACTTAGCGACTTATTTTAAATTCACTTTAAACTTGAAAAGTGTAAAATGTTGTTAATCCAACTGCCAAATAATAGCTTCTTTTATTATTATTATTATTATTATTTTTTGGTAAAAGATCCCTCTACGTATCTAACTCTCCCTTAAGTTTTTTCATAAACTAAAAAAAAAAAAAACACTATTTGGCTGCTACAAATTCAGCAGCAACTCCTACTTTTAACTTAATCACATAAGGACATGTATCCAAATGTTTATAATTTCAATTATTTGGATAAATGTCCATCTGTGATTGGATAGAAGCAGCCAAGTAGTGTTGATCAATACCGTCAAAATAAAAGTTATTAGATAACTCATTATTAATTATCCTCTTGGAGTCATGAAAATTGAAATGACTCAAATGAGCATGGAAGTTTCGCTACTTCATCTTCCATGACTACAAAATTACCAATCACAAAAAATTGATGACGAGAGTTTTCTTGTGGAATTATCAAATTCATGTTTAACGTTTTTGAAACAACGATGGTTATTAATGATTGTTAGAAGTAGTCATTCAGTTTTAAACTGATCTAGTCTCCTTATGTAATTCTCTTTTTCTTTCTTACTATACACAGGATATTACTTTTGATAACTAATCCTGGTAGCATTTCCTCCACTCCATCTTCTTCTCATGTCTTGCTCAACCGAACTGCACATCATGAGATGGTGGATGATACCGAAATTGTTCAATTTGGCTTTACTTTAATTATCTCCTAGTGCCTTTGGCTACATTACCTCTTCTTTCTAAGCAATGGTAGTTAATCAAGGGTTGTTAGCTATAGTGTGCATGCATGACCATCTAGACCATCTTCAACTCGCAATGGTAAATTTCCATATTTGTTTTTTTAGCACTATTTCCTCTCCCAACATTTTTGCACCATGCTAGCACTTGGTCACCAACCACACGACAAGATCAATTTGAACAAATAGTTAATAGGAGTGAGACATGATCTTTTAATTGTTGCAACATTCAATAGGAGTGAGCCATGATCTTTTAGTTATTGCAATATTCCTTTCTTTTGTTGTAAAACAAGAGAATGACTCGAATTGATTCTATTAGACGAGTATTTCTTTTTAGGGTGTTAATTTTGCAATTACACTAAAAATTGAGGGTGCAAAATGTTATTTATTCTTTTTTTTTATTTAACTTTTAATTGAAAAGAGAAATTTGATTCAGTTAGATTATCGTTGAAGATGATTGAGATTAATATATACAAAATATATATATATATATATATATATATATATTTCCGATAAGAAAATTGAAAAAAATTGTGGCTAAAACAATTGTTCGACAATTGATATAGTTGAGATGCTAAATTTTAGTTGGGAAAAAAAAAAATGCTAAAATTTGATTTTGGAACTATAAATTTTAGAGGTACTTGTCGATTTGCACTCCAAACTTGTATCGAGTTGCCAATTTCAGTTCCATACAAGTTCGGAAGGCAAATTGACAAATATACCTAAATTATAGGGTAAATTACATTTTACACCCTCAAGTTTGGGTGCAATAATAATCTCATATAACATCTTTAAAACATTTCAATCTCATCCATTAGTTATCATTTTATTTTAATTTCATATAACCGTTAAAAAATCTATTAAGTTAGCCGTTAAGTAATGACGTGGTAATAGTGAACTCTACAATTTTGGTTTTTGTTAGCATTTTGTGGATTTCGAATCTTTGGGAGGAATTGGAAAAGAAAAGTAGATAGAAAAAAAAAAAGGGTAAAGTACAAAAAACTACCTCAACTATTGGGGTCACGACAATTTCATACCTCATCTTTTAAAATTGACAATGTCATACCGTATCTTACGAATTTGTGACAATGTCATACCTCCGTCAATTTTTCTGTTAGTTTTTCTGTTTAGTGGTGACGTGGCAAAAAACAGGAACCACTCACTAATCTAGCTGGATTAAAAAATAATTAAATATTAAAAAAATTAAGAATAAAAAAACAAAACAAAAAAATTTCCTAGGGGTGCGGCATCCCCTTTCCCCTTTCCTTCTTCTTCTTCTTCTGGGTTTTTTTTATTTTTTATTTTTATTTTCTGGGTTGCAGTTTCCATTTTTTTTCCTCATTCTTCTTCTTCTTCTTTGGTTCTTCCTCCTTCTCCTGGGGGGGGGGGGGTGGGGTTGGGTTTTCAAAATTTTTTTTTTTTCTTCCTCCTCTTCTTCGTCCTTCTTCTTCTTCTTCTTCTTCGGTTCTTCCTCCTTCTCCTGGGGGGTGGGGGGTGGGTGGGGTTGGGTTTTCAAATTTTTTTTTTTTTCCTCCTCCTCTTCTTCCTCTTCGGTTCTTCCTCTTCGGTTCTTCCTCCTTCTCTTGGGGGCGGGTGGGGTTGGGTTTTCAAATTTTTATTTTTATTTTTATAATTTTACTTTTATTTATTATTTTAATATTTAAAAAATATTAAATATTTCTTTTTAGTTTTTAATAATTTTTATTAATTTTTAATAGAAAGTGGTCTCAGTCTCTTGCCACGTCAGCACTTAACAGAAAAATTGACGGAGGTATGAAATTGTCACAAATTCGTAAGATGCGGTATGACATTGTCAATTTTAAAAGATTCGTGATCCCAATAGTTGAAGTAGTTTTTTGTACTTTACCCAAAAAAAAATCAAGGAGAGGAAGAACGGCGTGGGACTGGCGAATTGGAAAACAAAATTGGTTGAAGAAACCAAAAGGACTGGGGAGGGTTTGGTTTTTTTTTTTTTTTTCTAATTATATTATAAAAAATAACAAAATAATGATATTTTATTAATTATATATATATATATATTATTTTTTCCATGTGGCACAAGCTGGCAGCCACGTCTATAAAATTGTAGAACCCATCACTACCACGTCATCACTTAACAACTAATTTAATAAATTTTTTAACTGTTGTATAACATTGAAATAAAATAATAACTAATGTATAAGATTGAAATGTTTTAAAGATATTGTATGAGATTGCAATTACACCCAAATATGAGGGGTAAAATATAATTTACCCTAAATTTTAATAGTTAACAATTTGGATTGGAGATGATCATATGGAATCAACCTTCGACACCTCTTGCACAAGATCAAACTCTTGATTTTTGGTTCAACATTCAAGTTCAAGATTTCTTGGTGTGAGCGTTATGATGCGATGCGTTACTACCAATTCACTAATGCAATATTTGTATCCAATTTTACATTTGTAACATTGAAGATTCTGAGTGCTGGACTTGGCCTATTTCTACGCCTTACCCAACCTCATCACTTCCAACGTATACGCCAGCAATATTTGTATCTATTTATTAATTTTACCATGTCTTTCTCATATATCAATTTTGTTCATCTACTCATAGTATAGTACATAGATCAGACTTATGAATAGCACTTTGTGACAAGTACACCAATAAATTTTTGAAATGTACCAACAATTAATGTTAGAATATACAACAATTTTATAATCCCATGAAATTTCCGGGAAAAGTTCTTTTGCTTTACTGCTTAATCCTAATTATCGTAATTTAAGATTTAATTAAGTACCGATTTGGTATTGAGATATTTTTATAAAAAGTGGGTATAAAAAAATTGAGCTCAAAAAAGTATTTGGTAAACACTTAAAAATAGTTTATTCTCATAGTTTTGGGTGAAAAAAAACAAACTGAAAACATAAAGTAGCAAAAATGAGCTTATTCTCATAACACAACAGAAGCAGTTTTTTTTCAAAACACAATAGTGTGAAAAAAAGTGAGCTAAATTTCAATATATTACCGGCCCACAGATTGTTAAGGGCCCGAAAGATAAGCCTAAGATTTATCGATGAGCCGGTCCGGGTCGGGTTGTTTCCCTACTCCCTCGTCCAAAATGCTAAGAAAACCAACCGCCACAAATTTGGAAACTCCACACTCCACAGTGGAACACAGTGGCTAAGCTGCCCTCACTTCCCGCCATCTTCTTCCTGCGTTGCAATCTCTGCAAACCCTAATTTCAATTCTCCAATTTCCCCCTATTTCTCGACTCAATCCCTAATTCGTTTCCCAAATGCAGCGCCTCTCGTTCTCCAATGCCTTAACGTCCCCAACCCCTCCCTTCCTCCACACGGAGCTCTCCCACCTCTCCCTCCAATCCCTAACTCTAACACCCAAACCCTGATAACACCAGAAAATCAAACCAGAAATTCAACAAATCCAAGAAGCTTGAGAAAGGAAGAAAGATTGTTAGAGAGAAAGAAGATAGCAGCGGAAAAAGAAAAGATTCCTCTATTGAACATTAGGGCAGAAAACGTTTATACAGTGGCTTTTATAGCACTCCTCTAACTGATTTGCCTATGTGGCACTTCTCTACCTTATATCCTAACCAACCAATCTAACTGATTTGCCTATGTGGCACTCCTCTACATTATATTCTAACCAATCAACACTCAACACTTGTACATCCGTTATTAAACCCATGATAATCCGGATGGGCGGCGGGCCCAGAACCTTCCCCGGCGGCGTATCCAAGTGGCAGTGGAAGCGCATGCAGGCGAAAAAAGCCAAGCAGCTCCTCAAGGCGCGCCTCTGCCGCGAGCGCCAAATATACGAGATGCGAAAGAGGGCCGAGCTCAAAGCCGCCGTGTACGAGCTCGAGCGGCCGTGGGAGGTTGTTGAGAAAGCTCCGAACTTGTTCTCTGTCAGCGCCGACGAGCAAGTCAAGGTCTTGGCGGATAGGTTTCAGAAGCCTGGTGGGTTCGATTTGTGGACGGAGAGGGACGGCCCGCAGCTGTTTCATACCATGGAGGACTTACCCTCCGCGAGGTTTTTCCCCAAAGGGGTTGTTCATAGTGTGAGGTCGTATAAAAGGATTTCTGGGCCGGAGGAATTGGAGAGTTTGGAGCTTGAAGATGAAGGATTTGGAGGAGCTGAGGAATTAGGAGATGGGTTTAAGGGTAAGGGGAAATTGGGAAGTGGGTCGTTCGATTTAGAGGAATCAGATGGGGAGGGTTTGAATCTGAAACATGCTCTGGAATCGTTGATTGTGAATGGCCAAAGTGGGAAGAAGTACGATGGCAGAGTGGTGAAGAAGGGGAGGAATAGGAGAAATTCTAAGTAGTCCCACAATGCGCGGTGCAGAAGCTGGTTCTGATAGGAAACAGAGAGGACAGAGTCCAACAAGAAAGACTCGGAGTAGTAAGCGAAATGGTTCAGGATCTGAATTTTTTGATATGAGCTTGCAGCAAGATGGAAGCTATGAACTTAGAGAGCATAACGGCAAACCATGAATTTTATGCTCATAAGTCGGTCTGGCAAGAGCCATCTGCATAGAATTAATTGAGTGTCAACTGGATGATCCTAAGAACTTGTAAAATGACATAGAAGAATCAGTTTTGGTGATCATGTATATCTCTTGTTTGCGTTGGCGTTTGATGAAAGATCGTGATTCAGGAAAAGGGCATCAGTCTCCCAAACTGTATGTATATTAGCGTATATTTATGTTCTGCAGTTATCTTATGCTGAATTAGTTGAATAACAATCTAATTTTAGTCAAAGTATATAACAATACCTTATCTATAAATCGATTGTAATGTGCCTAAGCGTTATCTGGATTTTTTTTCACATGATTTGGTTGATATTTTCGGTGTATGCTCTTATTGGTACAATACTTGAAACTTAAGCCAGAAGCAAACTTTAAACTTAACCATGCGTCACTCGGTCATATTAAATAAATTTCTCATATAGATGATGTTCGATGCTCACTTCATGAGTTGATGTGCGTATTTCATTTACATGCTCAGCAATTGTACCACCCGCACCCACACAATAACACCCACTAACATGCTAGAGATGTTTGTTTTTTTTTTCTCTTTAGTCTACATGATGTTTGTTATACATGATTTCTCAATAAACCCAATGGCAGCTTATTTAGAACTGCAGTTCAATGTTTGATTTTAAGAAGATTGATGTGCTCTTTAGAAAAAGAAAGAATGTTATGACATGTTACGAGTGATGATTGATGAACCACACAGGTGGTAGATATTAGCATTTCTCTTCCTTATTTTCGTGGAATCTGAAGCCTACAGATATCGTCACCACAGATTGACCACAGTTAAACTATTAAAATTGACAAATTGTCTATTGGTGGACATATTGCATAAAGAATATTGTTCAGTATGAAGATATGGTTATCCCAACCGTATATTTGGCTCAAAGGGTATCTCAGAGCACTGAAACCGTGATGATTTCATTGTAAAGTAGTCTGTATTTGAGGTTTATGTCCTCTTTTAATCATGGGAAAACATTTTTTGACATGGATATGAATAGGCTTCTCATGATTTTGGGCCACACCAGTTCTTTTTGCCCATTGTTTTTCTCTTATCGACTTCCCTTCTGGATAATGTAGTCAATGTTGATTTAATTGATTACTTTAGATGATAGAGCCACTTTGGAATCGATCATTTGCCTGTGGTTGTCTAGTGGACTAGGTGGGTAGTGCACATAGGTATTCAATGAAGAAAGTACCTACAGAACTGTTGACACATTTGAAAGGATGATGCTGGTGCTGGAAATGATGATGCATTTGAAATGTTTATTTGTAGTTTATTTGAATATGTACCCCATTGCTTCCTGGTTTTCCCACATGATGCTAGTAAATACATCTGGAAGTCACAATCAATGTTTTAAAAGGCTCGCCTCAGGGCACGCCTAGGCGCTCTGTGAGGCTGGGTTTGAGGGTTGCTGCCTCTGTTTTGAGGGAGTGGGTGGAAGGCGTCGCCAGAGCCGCCAGAAGGCGTGCCTAAGGGGAATTTTTTTTTTTTTTTTTTTTTTTTTTTTTTTTTTTTTTTTGTGTTTTTTTACTCCCAAACCCAAATTTTGGGTAGGGTTTTAACTGTCTCATACCTCTTCCTTGCACTATCATCTCTCTGCCTTTTTTTTCTAATTTTTATTTTTTTATATAATGGATGTGTGTGTGCTGTCTGCGTACATTGTTATATGTGTGTATATATATAATATAATATATGTATATATATATATGTGTATATGTATTTATAATATATGAGTGTGCTCAGGGTGTTTTTAATGTAATATATGTGTACGCTCAGTGTATATATTAAAAAATTTAGGTCCCGTGAGGCGCCTAGGCTAGGCTATCCCTCATACGCCTCACCCACGTCTCATGCTTTTAATACATTGGTCACAATTGTATTTTCTATTTCTTGGGTCACAATTGCATTTGAGAAAGACGGTAGGCTTGAAAACTGAAAGAGAAATACAGATACTCCAGGGTTCTAAGCCTTCTCGAAGCTTGATGAGTTTTTACGTCACATTTACCTTGTCACAGAGCTTGAAAGGTTTTTGCATATACTATGTTATCACCTATCGATGTTCTCTGTGGATTTACTTTCTGTCATACCTTACATTGTAGTTGATTAAATTCTCTGTCATATTATTCCCATCGATGCGTGTATAGTTGAACTCCTACCAGGATGCATCAATTTTATCAGGAGCGTCGTCCTTATCCATCCTGATCTGTACGTTCAGTCACAATCCATACTTTCTGGGAATGTTAGATATAGCTCCCCCCATAAGTTGATGCCTGAAATCTCCTCAAGCATTCAAAGTTTTCAATATAACAAAGGTCAGATTTAGCAATCATGTCTAGAAGCACCACTTGCCTAACGCAGTCAACCTCTACACATTATACTCTCGAATCCGTCTTTAGTGGATTCTATCTCATTAGTGAAATTTTGTAATCATTAATGTGAAGATCTGATTTGGATGATGGAATAATTGAGGATTAGTTTGCTGACTTTTGGTGTTTAGTTTGTAGTTTGCAGATAAGAAATCGACGTAACTGAGTCGTGATTGCGTTTGTTCTTTTACTTTGATGTTAACTTCATTTCTCCACGCCTGTTTTGGAAACGTTTGAGTTTGTTCAGATAAATTCAAATGAAAACTGAAATGAGAACACAAAACTAACAACGCTTAAAAGGAGGTCCCACAGGGACACCCCAAAGGCCCATACAAAACTCTAAAACCTGGGAAGACAAAAAAGAAAGAACCCCGCCACGGCGGTAGCCACAACGGAAACTGGCCAGCCACCGTCCAGGTCGCCACAATGAATCTCAATTGTTGAACTAGTTAAAACCATATAACGGCGACATATTAATCAAAGCATAATGCTGGGGAGATCAAATTTGGAAACCAAATTATGCGTCACCAATAGAAAATTAGCACGTTAATTAACACTTAAGTACTAATCCAATCATTAGCATCCACATCATTTGGCTTATAAAATTCAGTTTAGAAATTTGATCTTCCTACATTACCATTGATCAAATATTGACGACATTATCAATTAAATAGTCTATCAAGTATGTTTTAAGATTGTTGAACTGTTTATACAAATTTATATTGAATTCATTGAAATGAAATATATATCTAGTTTCGGTTCTGATTTGATAATTACATGCTTATTAGGACCAACATTAGAGAGACTAAATTTTGTAAACTAAATAATGTGGTTGTTGATGATTGAATTATTACTTTAATGTTGACTATCGTATTTATTTTTTATTAATAACACATTATTTAATTTGTAAAATTAATTTAAAATTTTAGTCTACCTACCATTGAGGAAAGCTGCCAAAAAGAGCTTGGAGTAATGTTGGCGTATAGGTAATGTATGTTGGAACTTGGAAGCATTCAAAGAGACGATGACTCCTCAATCAAAACTTGACACCATGTTTAAAATATGCATACTATTTCTTAGCAATCAACTTTTATGAAGACACTGACAATACGTTTCAAATTTTTTTTTAAAAAAAAAAAGGCAAATTGTCTGAATAAATCCACCTTTAGTCACTCTCCTTTTAATTTTACTTTAATCACTGTCTAGTTGAATTTGATAAAGCTTCAACAAATTCATTGGTTTTTTTTCTTTTCTTATTTTTTTTGTTTTTTTAACAAATAATATTATCTACATTAAGGAATGATAGGGTTAGGTTTAGCCTCACAATTGACTAATAATAATGTAGTTTAAATTCGCATTTGGCGAGAATCGAACCTAAAACCTCTCACTTACAAGTGAACAGGAATACCACTAAACCTCAGTTAAATAAGGTCAATTCACACGAGGTGGATCGTCCTAGTGGTTAGGTCTTTTTTTTTTTTTTTTTGACTTATTGCGTCTTCAGTTCAAACTTTCTCCATTCTCTTGATGTAAAATATATATATTGTAATCAACAAATTAGGTCAACTTAGACTTTATCGTTTATAAATTGTCAAAAATAACATTATAATTAAAATTTTGCACCATTGGCCTCCCCATCAGTCTACCTTTTAATATTGATTGGGGAGGTAATTTTCACACTTTTATTTATTTTTTATCATCAAATTAAATAAATCAAACAAAAACAAACAGACATGTTTAATTAAGGATGTGTAAGAGCATAAAAAAGTGTTAGTTTATCCTTTCTTTAATTGCTGAAGTGTACTAACAGAGGTCATATATTTCAAACTATACTTCCTGCTAAAATATTTGAATTGTGATAAATTTAAAAATAAATTAGGTTTCCATCTCTCATTTCTTTTTCATTAAGTGAAACTTTATTTCTTTTTCATTTTCTGATCAAATTCTCTTGACTTTTCTTCATGTTATTATTTGAATATTAAATTATTTACAAGTCATCATGTGTTAATATTAAAAATAAAAAACTTATTAATTATTTCCAAATTCAATTTTTAGTATTTTTTTTCATATATTTCTGTTTATAATTTGTAACTTTTTTTTTAATTTCTACCAATATTCTTTTTAGTTTTTTATTTTGTCGAATATTCTTTTTAGTTTTTTTTTACTCATAATTCTGAATTTTAATATATACTCATATTTGTTATTTAATTTGTACACTTTTTTTTTTTTGGTGAATGTACCCATGCTGATTATATTTATTTTTTTATGTTTTAAATATATCAATAGTTATTTTTAAAAATATATTAAAAATTATGTGGGTATATTATTTTTTTGGTAAAACTATGTGAAAAATAATATTACTCTTAATGGAGGTCCACAGGGACACCTCAAGGGCCCACACAAAACTCTAAAACCAGAGAACA